TTATATAATGTTAATCCATAAGTAAAACAAGGGATAAACGAGTTTTTGAATGTTAATATAGTATACATGATGATGGAATTTCGTAGCATAGGTTCTAGCATGATAATCTAGTGTGAAAGTGCTTTTTAAAAAAGTGATTTTTGAAATTTGTAATAGCGTCGACCTGTAGCTTCTAGAAACGAAACCTTTGAAAACCAGAACAGCAGGCATCGACCTACAAGCCTTACGTGTCGATCTGCTTTCCCTGTGCGTCGACCTCTCCGTCGGCACATAGAAAAAATGCTAGAAACAGTTTCGATCATAACTTTTTAACCGTATATCTAAATGAAGAACCATTTAAAGCTTTGGAAAGCTAATGAGTATAATTTTAACATGGTATAATTAGGTAAAATCTTGATTTAATCTGCCTTCGAAGGCAAATGTTGAAGTGATATCTATCGTTTCTTGATGTACCCACGTGGAAGAATTGTCCCCATTTACATTACGAAGCATAGTAGGTGGAATGTCCATTGTGAAGCAGCATGTTAACACATAAAAGGAAAACATGAACAAATAAAACTCTGGCCAAACATACCAGTAACCGAATTTCAAGCATTAGAGATATTAAAAATTTCACTCCCTAGAAAACCCAAACAAATAAAGAAGTGATAGAAAGAAATAGATATTGACTTTACCTTAAAAGAAATGGTTGGTTTCTTGTGCGTATCAAATTCCACCGAAAAAGATTGCAGACGAGCTTAAACAAGAAATCAGTATAGAAGAGCTCGTGAATAAAGATGTAGTTCGAAAGACAGAGAAGAAGATCTTTTTTACACCACGAATAACAAAAAAAAATTATGTTTCAGGATCCTTTTATATGTGCATCAAGCACAAGGATCGTACAATCCACTGTGTGCCACCAACGGTTGAAATTTCATCGAAGATTGCTTAAAGTACTTAAGTTCCGTAAGGAAGAGAAAGCATCATTACAAACTAGAATATGAGCACATGTCAATAGTTCCATGTTAAATGTTACATGTTACGAGAAAGACATTTAAAGCGTCTATTCCTAATGATAATGACATCTCATCAAGGCTTTTTTACCTTCTCAAAACAAGTAGTCGGGCTAAGGCATATAGGCCAAACCCTCGTTCTACAAAGTAGGGACAAGGTTTAGAGGGGAAAAATGTTTTTGGATGCTCCTATTACCCTAGACGAAAGGCTTAGATGTGAAGCAAATAAAGCTAACACAAGGAGCGTGAGTTCCTCTATCCTCGCTTGAAGTAGACAAACTCACCCCTAAGGCATCAGTAGTCATCCATATCAATCAAACAGTTGTCTACACGGTACACCTCTCCATCGCAGATGGTTTTGACCACTTCCACTAGATAACAGAGAAATCATGTCATTCTCGGTTATTCAAATCCATTATCATTCTCACATTACTTTTTATTCTATCATTCACTTCGACATTGGAGTTTTATGGTTGGAGATGGTGGTTTTTGGTTTGTTGTATTGATCGCTGCGAAGGTTGTTTCCCACGATTATAACAATTATTTTTCTTTGATTTCACTTCGATGTTGGAATACTAACCTTGCAGGTTATCCATTTCTATGTTATATCAAAAGTTCGATCTACCATGACAAGATCCTATTTCACCAAACAATTTTAGTTCCACAACTAGGGGTGTGCATAGATTATAAACCAAACCAAATCAAACCACATATATGGTTTGGTTTGGATCTTAAAACCATTTATATAAAACCGGTTTATTTTTTAAAAACCAATTTTAAACCAGTTTCTCTCAAAACCAGTTTTTTATTTTCTTTAAAGGAATCAGTTTTAAAACCAATTTTTTTAAAAAAATCAATTTTATTGCAAACTATCAAATAATTGATATAAATCAATTAATCACTTTTATTCCAGTTTTACATTGAATTAAATCAACACCCCATATATCTTAAACTTTAAACTACTCAATGTAAAACTGGAATTAGAATAATTCCTTTTCATCGTGAATTAAATCAATTAATCGAGAAGTACGTTGAATTGATATAAATTAATTAATCGTGAAACTTATTCTACTTTAAACTTATTGCAAACTATCTACCTTAAACTTATTATACTTTAAACCAAATCAATTTTATTCTAAACTAGGGGTGTTGATCTTGATTTTCCCAAACTATTCTACTTTTGTTTTTGAAGCTTATTGAAAAATGGTTACTGAATCTCAATCCGGTTTGAAACAAATGGTTACCGTTTTTTTTTTAATTTGATAAATCGGCCACCAAATTTAAAATATAAATTTGGATGGGATTTTAGAATTTGGTTTAATTTATATAGAAATTTAGTTTATGATTATTGGTTATTTTGCACACCCTTATCCACAACTGAACAATTCTAAAGACTCAATTAAATTCTTATTGTTTCAAAATAGATCATCCTTATCCATTCATATTGAAGGTGTATAATCTAATTAAAGATATAATAATTGTCTAATTAATTGTATTATTTAATTTAGTCAATAATCAATTTAAGTTTGTTTATTATAATAACATTAAAATACAATAAATAAATAAAATATTCTAACGGATAATGATCATAAGAAATAACAAAGGAAAAAAACATGCACTAGCAAAGGCTACGGAAATGGTTTATTTGTCTTGATTGGGATCAACACAAATCAACACCATTAAGGAAAGAAATATTACAAGCTGTAAAGCCATGCACATTTGATATTTGAAATGTATATATATATATATAAATAAGATGTAGGCATCAACACCATTCACACCCTTCAACTACCAATGGAGAATTTAATTCAGAGAAAATTCTTTATGTTTCTATTATTCCTTTGGTTTTATTCAGTCAATGCCTCTGTGAGCTACGATAACAAAGCCATTCTTGTTAATGGACAGAGAAAACTTTTATTTTCTGGATCCATTCATTATCCAAGAAGTACACCTGAGGTAATTATAATACATTATATTATATGATGCATGAATTAAACAAGTTTGATGTATATGAAATTGTGGATAAATTTCAGATGTGGCCAGATCTTATTCAAAAAGCTAAAGATGGAGGGATAGATGTTATACAGTCTTATGTATTTTGGAATGGACACGAACCTTCTCCTGGCAAGGTAATTAGAATTTTTATTTTTAAAAAAGTTAATTTAATTTTGTTAAAATGTTATTAATTAGAAGGCTAATCCATTTTTTTTATGTATGAAATACAGTATTATTTTGAAGATAGGTATGATTTGGTTAAGTTCATCAAGCTGGTGCAACAAGCTGGCCTTTATTTTCATCTTCGTATTGGTCCCTACGCATGTGCTGAATGGAACTTAGGGTAATCAATTCTTATAATTCTATATTATTATATGATTAGCATAATAATGTTATTGAAAATGAACAATAATGTTTATATTTGGTGTGTACAGAGGATTTCCAGTTTGGCTTAAGTATGTTCCAGGAATGGAATTCAGAACAGATAATGAGCCTTTCAAGGTTTGAATTATTATCATTATTTTATGTCACATTTATTCAATTAATACACATTAAAAACATTTATGGTATTGACCATGCGTAGCTCAACGTAAATTTCATATTAATAGATTAAATATCTTTGTACAGAATTTACACTTATGTCTGAATTTAAGTGTTAATCACTTAGTCTATGGTTAAAAAAAAAAGTTTAGGCTCCCATAAATTTAAATATTTATTTCTTAAGTTAAATCTTAGATACTTATCCGTTTATTAAATAATCATTTTGTGTATTACATACATGTCTTTTCTTTTTCTCTTTCTTTTTTAGAATATTGACCAAATTAAATGCAAGATTTTTAATAAATTCTTTACCATTTTATGATTAAAAAAAGAATTTTAAAAAAAAAGTCAATTCGATACTAGTTGTTAGAAAATAAAATAAAAAATACTTTTCATTCAAACTTTACAAAAGTAAAATCTAATTTATACATGTATCAGAATTCAATATTATTTTTTCTATTTTAAAAGGTTAGTGGTTGGTAAATATTTTATATTAGATATTCTTTTCAAAAAATATTAGTAATTAAAACATTTTTTTTCTAAATATTTCTCTCAACACACTTAAAAGGCTTGGATTAATTTTCTTAGTCAAAAAATTTACAGGCTGAAATTTACTTTTTTTTCTTAATATTTATCCACTCATATGGCTTAACAATACGGTTCTTGAAGTAAATTTCATTAACTAAAAATATATTGAGCTGACCCGAAATATATAGTATTAATATTATCATAATTACCATCATAAATACAAAAGTCAATATAATAATTTTGGAATAATCCACACCTTTAATGTAAAATTATGAATACTATTATAGTTTTTTTATCCAATATCTTAACTATATTTACTGATTCAAAACATTTCATTATTTACTAATTATTGCTTCATGCATATCTTCTAATTTTAAAATTATTATACTTTTTCATTGTTAAACACAATTTGTAATTTTTATTTATGTAGATCAACATACAAACATTCTACAATTTAATTTTCACACTGCTAATAAACTATTTGATTATGAAATTTTGGAAATTTTCTAAAGGAAGCAAATATTTTCTGATGATGTAGGCAGCAATGTATAAATTTACAACTAAGATTGTTGACATGATGAAGGCAGAGAAATTGTTTCAAACTCAGGGAGGTCCAATCATTCTTTCTCAGGCAAGTTATTGTGATTTCAACATTATTTCTATTCATATTGTTGCTACAAAGTTTAATAATGATCCTAATTGAATATGATGATAGATTGAAAATGAGTATGGGCCAGTGGAATGGGAAATTGGTGCTCCTGGACAAGCTTACACCAAATGGTTTTCTCAAATGGCTGTTGGTTTAAATACCGGCGTCCCGTGGATTATGTGCAAGCAAGAAGATGCTCCTGATCCTATCGTAAATCTTTCTTCTTTATTCAATGAATCTGAAAAGTGATTTGAGTATCATTTCGTGTCTAATTTGTATTTATGTTGTGCAATAGATTGATACTTGCAATGGTTACTATTGTGAAAACTTCAAGCCCAACAAGAACTATAAACCCAAAATGTGGACTGAGAATTGGAGTAGCTGGTACACAGAGTTTGGCGGTGGAGTTCCACGTAGATCGGCAGAAGACATGGCATTCTCTGTTGTAAGATTTGTACAAAATGGTGGCACATTTGTTGACTACTATATGGTAATTATAAAGTTGTTACAGTTTTGAATTGTGTATTCATATCATTCTTTGTAAACTCTGAAATAAATCAGTGTAATGTGTCAATTTTTTGTGTTTAGTATCATGGAGGAACTAACTTTGATCGAACATCTGGCGGGCCTTTCATTGCCACAAGCTATGACTTTGATGCTCCCATTGATGAATTTGGTATGTTCTACTCAACTTGTGTGAGATTTATTTTTGCATTATACTCAACTTTTTTTTCGAGAACGTTGGTTAATGTTAAATTGTTAGTATTATGTTATGAGTGAGATTCGAATCAGGAACCTCTTATCAGTATGTTATTTATTTCTTATCAGGACTTTTGAACGAACCAAAATGGGGACATTTGAAATTTTTGCACAAAGTAATTAAGCAATGTGAACCAGTTTTACTGTCGGCGGATTCCACAGTTTATTGGCCTGGAAAAAACTTGGAGGTAAATACCATAAACTAGTTTTATCTGAATATTCAACAAAAACAAGTTTTAGTTTGATAATTAATTTCTTTCTTTTGTTAATATTTTCTTAGGTACATGTTTTCAAACCAAAAACTGGCGATTGTGTCGCTTTCCTTGGGAATTACGACACCAAATCTTCTGCAACAATAAAATTTGGAAATGGACAATATGACATACCACCTTGGTCTATTACCATTCTTCCTGACTGCAAAACTGCAGTTTTCAATACTGCCAAGGTAAGATAGTACTTCTTTGTTGTAGTCAATTCTTGGTAAAACTGAACCGAACCATTAATGGTTTATCTTAAACCAAGCTTGTATAAAGATTTAGTGCAAATTTGTACAGGTTGGTATTCAATCCCCAATGAAGATGATTGCTACAAATACTCCATTTACTTGGCAATCATATAATGAAGAACCATCATATTCCACTGTTAATGATTCTTTCACAGCATATACATTATGGGAGCAGGTTAATGTCACACGAGATTCCACAGATTATTTGTGGTATATGACAGAGTAAGTTTTTTTCAATTGGAATTTTCTTCTTCTAATTCTTCTTTATTATTTTGTTTGAACTTTATACTATTTATTCATGGACTAAATATTATCATTGCGTGTTCAGTGTGAACATTGATCAGAATGAAGGTTTTATAAAGAATGGAAAATATCCTCTTCTTACAATAAATTCAGCAGGCCATGTTATGCATGTTTTTATTAACGGTCAACTTTCAGGTCAATAAAACTAGCAAAGTTTATTCTTTCTTTCCGTATTTTCTTTCCTGCTATAACAAACTACGATTTTACTTATTTATCATCTTATGCTTGAAAACAGGTACTGTGTATGGATCATTGAAGTATCCTAAATTGACATTTAGTAAAAATGTTAAGCTAAATGTTGGAAATAATAAGATATCTTTGCTTAGTATTACTGTCGGTCTCCCAGTAAGTTTCCATGAAACTTGGTTACATCTTAACCATTTTTATTGCTTTAATTTTTCTGAATATAAAATTCTTTCAATTAATTTTAGAATGTCGGCGTGCACTTTGAAACATGGAATGCTGGGGTGTTAGGCCCGGTCACACTCGGGGGTCTAAACGAAGGGACTAGAGACCTGTCTCGACAGAAATGGTCTTACAAGGTTTGGTGCATGCCTAACCATGTTTCCTTTGGTAGAAGAAATAATTGTGTATTGAACCATTAAGAGATTTCATTTGCATTTTGTTGTTTCTGTAGGTTGGTCTCAAGGGTGAAGCCTTACAACTTTACACTGAAAGTGGAAGTAAATCAGTAAGTTGGGTAGAAGGATCATCATTAGGTAAAGGACAACCTTTGACATGGTACAAGGTATGTAAATTTTCAACATGTTTTATTTTTGTCACTATGATCATCTAAATTTGAATCATTTTGTACTACAATGTCATTAGACAACTTTTAGCACGCCAAAAGGAAATGATCCATTAGCTCTAGATATGAGTACTATGGGAAAGGGTCAAGTATGGATAAACGGTCGGAACATCGGACGTCATTGGCCCGGATATAAAGCGCGTGAGGAATGTGGCGATTGTTATTATGCCGGAACTTATACAGAAACAAAATGTCGGACGAATTGTGGACAACCCTCCCAAAAATGGTAAGAGTTGTGCTACATTAGTATTTTACTATAGTGAATGGTTTAATTTGAATATATCATGAAATATTGTTGTTTGAATTGGACAGGTACCATGTTCCCAGGTCATGGTTGAGGTCAAGTGAGAACTATTTGGTTGTGTTTGAAGAATGGGGAGGTGACCCTACTGGAATATCTTTGGTGAAAAGAACAACCTAAGCAGATGGGATCATGCGATGCAATAACTTATCAAATAAAAATTGAGCAATAAGTATATTTAGGTTCAGTATACAAACTGTTGCTCCTATAAAAAAATGTAGAAAGTTAGTCATCTTTTCTTCATCATCATCATCTATGAGGAGTGACTTAAGGTTGTTTGACTCAAAATCACCCCTATAATTTGTAGTATATTTTAGTTAAATAAATGATTTTAACACATATTTAAATCTTTTTTTTACCCTTATTTCATTGTTTTGTTTTTGTCATAGTTCGTAGTTGTGTTCTTTTTTTATCTTGTGGCGGTGTTTATTTAATTCAAATAATAAATAATTTTTTATTCAGGTTTAGTGTATATTCAATGAATAACATTGATATTCTTAATACCTCAAATTTGACATATTAATAGGTTATGTTATATACATATACAATTTACCATTTTATGTAATTAATTAAGATGTTGTGAGTTTATTCGTAGTTTTATTTTTTTGTATTTTTAGCGAATGATATTGTTTTATATATCGTTTGAATGAATTTCGATTTTGTTAAGTAAAAAAATAAGTATTCGAAATCTAATAGTAAAGCCCCACCATTTTAGAAAATTGAATTTTACACTCCATATTGCAAAGGCGCGTCTTTGCAACAATATCACATTTTAGGGTGATTGGATATTTGAAGAGACATGTATGGTCTTGTAAAGTTAGTTGATAGTGTGTTGGGCAGCTATGGACAAGATTATTTGAGTCATTAAGTTGTTCATAATGACGAGGGAGATAAGAAAATGAACACTAACATTAGGAAATGCCTCTGCAAGGTTACATATGGCAAGTTCACAACGATTGAGAAATTGTTGAGGTCATCCAGAGTGATCCCTTATGATGCACATACAATGAAGGTTTTAAAGACTAAATACCCATACATGCCTCTTGGCAAGTTCACAACGATTGAGAAATTGTTGAGGTCATCCAGAGTGATCCCTTATGATGCACATACAATGAAGGTTTTAAAGACTAAATACCCATACATGCCTCTTGGTGGCTGAAGTTGACATTATTCTCAAGTGCTTTGAATTTCCCCCCAAAATGACATCATGTGGTAGAGATGGTTTGTGATTCCGACACTTATCGAACAAGATTTTGTTGTGGCAAGAGATCTTTTATGTGCAATCACATAGTTTTTAACTTATGTTTAGGAGGAAGATGCCTTGTGAGTTTGCCAGAGTTTGTAGCTTTTGCGCCCTTAACGTCGTTATTGAAGTTTGATGGTGGGATACACCCAATTGTTTAAGGTTTTATTTAGAGGAATCTAGAGTTTAATGTTGATATGAAAGGATTCGATAAATATGTGTACAATATCCTAATGAATTATAGTTTAAGCTCACAGTACCGAATGGTATTGAGTTCAGTTTGCACAGTGCTAACAAGATTTTAAACAAGTCACATGAAGATGGTTCTTTAACTATTCTCACCATATATTTCCTTAATCCTTTCAACATGGTAGTTTGGTCGGCCTTACTTCATGAGGCAAGGGTGAAATGTCTCTCTATTTATTTGTGGGTTAAGTTTGTTTCTGGTCATACAACGACGTTCTACCTATTATGTCATCCACTGGAGTGAAACAAGGAGGCTTGTTAGGAACATTCGTGTTTTCTATTGTGTTACACCCTCTTATTCATAATATTAGAGACAAATACAAGTTTCTTCTTCATGTTTGGTATCATGATTATGAGACCAACATAGGGAGTTCAAAGGAGGTTGCTAAAGTCATTGAAATCATTCAGGAGACAGGTCCAGAATTGGCCATTGAATTGAATATTTGTAACATGAATATCTTTTGGCCTTCAAATGATGGCAGTTGTTGGTTGCTTTGTTTGTGCAAGTATACGCATTCAAAATGGTAGCAAGGGTTAAAATTAAGATTATCAATCCACATAGGTTGTATTAACTTATGTTGATTTTCAAGTGTGAAATTATGAAGAGATATGAGCAAAGAATAATAATAATTTTTGGTTGTCACTTGGCCAAAACAAGAAATAGCAACTAAGAAGTAAGAGTGTTCAACAGAGTTTAAAAGCATGTTGGAAAATGATTTGTTTAATTATTTCACCTAGTGTTTGAATATATGATATGATATGTCGTTAGAGATAAGGCTAAAATGTGACCTAGTGGTGTATGCCTACAACATCTATAAATATGTAGTAGATAACTATGAATCAAATTCCTAAGCCTAATTATAGCATTTATGAAGAAAAAAAAATTATAATGAGTTCTTACTTTTTCTATAGTTTTAGTTCTTTATCTCTAAAGTAACTAAATGGCAAGGTACTCCTACTTACTTTGTTATCCATATTTGTCACGATGTCAATTTATTAGAGGATTCCTCAATACTAATAAACGGTTATCTATTTCAGAGATGATCATCCAAAGAAACAAATATATAACATTAATTCATATGACAAAATAAGTCACATAAATCAATTCACATCACATAAAATATTACTTTTTATTATACTTCAAATTGACCAACATAAGGAGTTTTCTCACGGTGATAAAAAGAATTACAACAACACAAGTTCCTAAGGTTAACATTTCTAAAAAAAAGTGAAAGAAAAAAAAAAGATAAACTTAAGAACAACACTTCAACTTCTTGAAGTTGTTAACTAGAAAAAGTCGTCTTGTGTCACACTTGAGTGTGCTATATTCTTTAGAAATGGTAGGATAGGAGACGCATTGAACTATGGTTCATGCTTCTTTCTTTGTTATGAATCATTTTCCTATAAGTTTCATAACCTATTTCTCATCCCAATATAAATCCTTTTATAGAAAATTCTTAGTTGTGGTATTCTCTACAGACTTAGGTCTTAGGCCTTTTGATTATTGTAGTGGTATAATTGGAAGGGGTTACCAAGGCGGGGTGGAGGCATACGTTTCACCCATCATTGTTCCTAAATCATCCCTTTATTGGTTCGAGCTCCCATCTTTCTGATAGGATACCCCATTTCCGGATACGTCGCCCAAGCCCTTAGTGTCTCCGTCCATAACTCGTGGTTGTACGTAAAACATGTATTGAGTCAACAAACTTACATATGAAGTTGTGAGATTTAACTACACTTTCTAGATTTCAGGGAATTAACCACCTATTCCCAGAGTGGTTGCTACATTCACTGAAGACCTGTGTTTAATTTCAGAGAATTATAAATACATCAGTATCATGATGAATAGGGGGACACTTGCATCAAAAAAATACACACATACAAGATCTTCTCACCTCGTGTAAGTTAGATTAGACCCTACAAAAATCTTAAAGCTTCTAACATCTCTTAATCAGTAGGATTTGTCACGCATTTGTAATTTTAATAAGTACAATTGGCGTCCAATGTGGGCCCCAATTAAACTAACCTAGGCCACATTCATCATTTACTCATTGTTGCTCCCACCATATTCTCACAAGGTTGGTGAGGAAAAGAGATCATTAATTGATGAGGAAGTTGAGTCTAGTTTCATAACAAAGGACAAATACCCTTCGTGGTTGACTAACGTGGTCTTGGTAAGGAGGGAGTTAAATAAGTGGCATATGTGCGTTGATTTCATCGACCTCACTATTGAATTTTCTAGAGATCCATACCCTTTCCCTAACATAGATCGCCTGTTAATTTATTAAGTTTAATTCTCAAAAAATAGGCATATATGTGAACCCAAAAAAATTCCAAGCCATCATAGACCTGGGGAGTCCTTCTAATTTCAATGAGGTTCAACAATTGACCAGGAGTTTAGTTGCCCTCTCTCGTTTTATTTCCTATGCAGTTGATAAGGCTTTCCACTTCTTCTCCAAGTTAAAGAAAAACAAGAGGTTTGAATGGATATATGAATGTGATAAGGTGTTCTAAAAGTTGAAGGAATTCCTAACATCCTTTCCTATCTTGACATGCCCGATAGCAGGTTCACCTCTATATCTCTACTTGTCTATCATCAACCAGACATAGAGCTCAATACTCGTCCAGGAAATAGATAAAGTGAAATTACCTGTCTATTTCATTAACAAAGTGTTCATGGGCGTTGAGGTTCGTTATCAAAATATAGAAAGGCTCGCATTAGCGATAGTGGCGATCGCAAGAAAGCTCAAGCCTTATTTTCAAGGACATCAGATATTGGTAAAAATAGACCATCATATTCGCCAAATCCTCAAAAATCCAGATCTATCCGATAGAGTGGTATCTTGGGAAGTTGATTTTTCTGGATATGACATCTAGTACATTCCTAGAGGAAGCATCAAGGAACTAGTACTGACGGATCTTCTATAAGAATTCAGCGCACCAATTGGAAAGTAGATTTCCCCTACCTCAATCCTTTCGGTGGATGGGGCCTCTAACGTGAAAAGGGGTGGCATTGGGATAATTCTTGAAGTACCAAACAATATATTTATCGAGTAGTCATTACGGTTTTAATTCAAGGCTAGCAATAATCAAGTCGAGTACAAAGCTTTAATCATTGCCATGTCCATCGCCCTATAATTAGGCACATCAACTCTGAAGGCCAAGAGCAACTCTCAGAAGTTGGAAAAGCAAGTGGCCAACAATACCAATTTTAGAAACCACGACTCATCAAATATTTGAAAAAGGTACATGACTTGTCCGAGTGTTTCAAAATTTTTGACATAATTCATGTGCCTAAGGAACAAAATTTCAAGGCAACCCACATGTCCAAACTTGCTAGCTCGAAGGAAACAAGGTTCAATTTCACCGTAATACAAGAAACGTTCAACATCCCTAGCATAGAGGCGAGGGAGACAAACATTATCGATATCACTTTGAATGGCAGTTGGATGACCCATATAATTTTTTATCTGCAGTCAGGCAAATTACCACAAGACAAGTTAGAAGCAAAACAAACTTAGAAGCGTGCAATAAAGTACATTCTTATAGGGAAGCTACATAAAATGGGAAGAGCCTATTTGGTGCTAAGGTTTATGGGGAACACGGAATCACCCTAGTCTTAGTTGAGGTT